AATTGCTTGTAAAATGGCTGATAATGAGCAAATATTGAAGAGTGTTATCTTTAGGCATATATCCAGATGTGTGCTGTACTCAGGTGTCTGGTTTGCAGTTTTGAAAAGTCTTCTGATCATAGTTCATAAGTGACCTCAACACTATCTCACGACCAATTCGTACGAATTTGACGCATGATTAAAAAGTGTCTAATTCGTACTAATTCGTACGATTTGTCTAAACCGACGTGATGGTTAGGTTTAGGGGCGGGGTAAGGGGTAGGTCATTCGTACGAATTCATACGAATTGGCCAATTCGTAAAATATGTACGATTTAGCAAAATCGAATTAATTCGTACGAGTGAGGTCGTATGAATTGTTACGAATTAGCCACTTTTTAATCATTCGTCGAATTCATGCGACTTGGTCGTGAGATCGGGTTGGTGACCTGCAGGGACTTGGATGCGAATTACGTGTCGGACAGATTTTATGAGTGAATTTGTGCCCTGGTTTTATTTACATAATTCCTTTAGTGATTGCGGTGGTAAAACAACACATAAACTGCATATGGTGGAGCCGAATCCCCCTCAATGGGCCGCCATTATCCCGAGGTGTATAGTGGGGGAAGGACTGAGAAGATTATCGCTCTGAATCCCGTCGCCGGTGCCAAATCAAGTCAAGGGTTTGCCACACAGAAAATGTAGCTGACTCTTAGGGATTACAGACTTGCTGGTGAGACCCACCCAGCGCTCACAGGCAATGTGTGTGTTCATTTGCTTTCACCATCTGTCAGTTTGTTGTAATTGATGATGCATCATAATCTGATGCACGGAAGGTATTTATCTAACGTTTATTAATTTGTGCTCCGCTAATGCAATCTAATCAGGTGGTGTAGGACGGCGCGTACATGACGAGGAAACTGTGTTTGTGTGGCACTGAGGTGAATGTGTTCAGTTTTTTTTATTTATTTAAAGGCCGTTGGTGTTGTAATATATCAAACATGTTACTGTATTTACAGTGATTTCTCAATGCTGGATCAACGTTCTCATCAGATATTAGGGTTAAGCTTCTGGCTGGGGTTAAGAGCTTAAACAACGTTATTATCATTTCCCTTTGATTGATTTAAAGAGGAAATAGTTAGGAATTGATTGCAATCGTTCAATTGATGGTTCTTTGACCAATGCAAATGTTGTTCCAAGACCAGCAAGCGATTTTGGTAAGTTGTCTTAAAGGGATACTCCACTTTTTTTTTTTTTTAGAAATAGGTTCATTTTACAACTCCCAGTAAAAAAAAAAAAATAAATAAATAAAAAATCAGTAACCAGACAGTTTCTGGTCCCATTGACCTCTATAGTATATATATTTTTTCATACTATGGAAGTCAATGGGACCAGAAACTGTCTGGTTACTTACTGGTATTCTTCTAAATATCAGAAAATCGGCTGAATGGATTCGAAAACGGTAAAACTCTGGGGGAGATGTAAAATGAGCCTATTTCCCCAAAAAAGTGGATTATCCCTTAAAGTTAGTTTTGATCATGTGATTTTTGCCAATTTTCACTGTCAGATTTGAAACTTTCCGTGCATGCACCATGCATCCCAACAGTCTTTGCTTCAATTTATAGCTGATTTTATTGAACAGACTGTGCATTCAGATTCTGCAATTGGAGTTAATTTAATTCGGTCTAATAGAAACCTATGCATATAAAAAGATAGTTGCACAAACATATACGTTGGAGATTCATCATGCAATATGCAAAAAGAGAAGTTAATTTAAAAGGAATGAGTGTGTGATTTTCTTGCGAAAGTAATGTTGATTAATTGAATATGAAAATAAAATGCATTCCAAGTTTCGAAACATAAATTGCACTTTAAACACAGTTCTGAATGTCTGAACGTAATCTTCAACAAGTATATCTAACTATTAATTACACATCTAATCACAAGAACTCATTATATATAATCTTTTTTTTTTTTTTGGTTTTTACTTGCTTTCCTACACGTGATTATGGTGAACATGGGATATGAATGGTTTTTGTTGGATATTGCATGTGATTTTTATGCAGTGGACTTGAAAAACATGCACTACTCTGTTCATTCCCCATTTCTGTATTCCACTCATGTACGTCTATGCTCTATAGAATTAGAATGCTGTCAAAGTCTATTAACTCACATATAATTGTACCTTTAGGCCTCACAAAAAATACCTTTTACATTAATAGGTGGTTTCGTCCACACGGCAATCTCTTTCTCATGTGGAGCACGCAGGCTACCGCAGTTTCATTGGCGTGTTATTGTTTGTATAAGATTAATTATATAACGACGATTCCCTGATTTATTGACTTATCACTGATTTAGCTATTCAAATGTAGCATGAATTAGAGTGAATTAAAGGATGCCAGATTTGTCTCCATGCATGACAAGCATCAGAAAGCATCCGCAAAAACTCATTTAAACAAGACACGGTGATGCCAAAAGTAACTTAAATCATATTTAAAAATAAATGAAATGTCTGAAAGATGATAAAATGTGTCATTTCTGGTAAAGAAGACACTTTTCTTTCAAAATGTCCACTAAAAATGCTAAAGAAGAGCAAAGTTAGCAGAATGCGTTTGATATTTTGTTATGCAATGACATTCCGACATTAAGCGAGTCTAAAGTGTCCCAGTGCATTTGGGGCTACATGCTGTACTTCATATGATGAACGTCTGTTAGCAGGAACTATGTTAGTAAACTCAAGTTCAGCTAAGTGGCTTTTAGTTCGATACTTCTAGAGAGTCTTTAGTGTCTGATGTGTTGTGATTGCTGATTTAGATCTTTTCACATCAGGAATGAAATTGACCACTATAATTACATCATCTAAAGCTTTTTGACAAGATGCCCAGAAATAAAAATCTGCACAGTGCAATAAAACAAGAGCTGTGCGGTAGTTTCCCGTTCAAGCATGATTTCAAAGGAGTCCTGACAACTGAAGGACTATACGGTCCACTCGGGAATCCAATCGCAGGGATAACTGGGGCAGAATGCTTGTAAAGTGGTTTTGAAAAGCTGCCTGTCGCACAAAGAAAAACAGTGCAGAGCTTTGGATTTCATATTAGATATATAACTGAGGGGCTTGCGATGTGAAGGGTTTGATTACATTTTAGATTCTGTGCAATATTGTTTTTCCTTATTAAGTGATAGTTAGTCGGTCCAAACCTGTGAGCTTATTCTTCATGTAAAATGCTAAATTAAATTTTAGTTAATTTTAACACTTTGAAGTCCACACCAAGAAAAAAGTGATGGAATTTTTTTTGTTGTTTACATTTCTTATCTTCTTACGTCGCTAGTAACCACACTCAATGTTTTTTTTTGTTTTTTTTCAACACATCCCGTAGTTTTTAAAATATCGGCCTCTACCAAATAGTTGAGATGTCACTTAATGGTAATAAATAGTACTGGAATTCATACTTTGCCATACTTTTTCATTGCCCATCATAATTTATGATCAAAACCTTTTCTAGTTTTAACAAAACATATTGTCAGAAAGGTCTGAGTCTCAATGTTTCATATTTTGTAACAGAAGTGATATTTGGACAGAAATGTATTCATTTGTTACAGTAGAATGCATACAATTAAATTCATTTTTGGTATTACGCCTAAACAAAATCTTCAATTTTTGTGATATCAACTTCAAATTTGGAACACAACTTGGTTAGATATATGGCTTTGATTTTATAGTAATTTTATAGGAAATATATATATTTTATATAAAAGAAAAAATATTTAGTACAGTATATTTGATTTAATGTAAATTTAAAACTTCCATAACTTTTTCATACTTTTATTTTTTGAAGTGATTTTACTTTTTAGAGTGTTTTCTTTAAATCAAGACTAAACTTAGGTCTTTATTCCAAATCATACTTCAATTGCAACCAAGTTTTGAAAGTGTATTGTAATGTCCATTCTCAAAAAGTTAAACGTTATGTGCCAAATCAACCGTTTGGTTGAGCATATTTTTGAAAAATTATTAAAAATATACTTTTTTTTTTCATAGCACCAAGTAACATCATTTTGTAAAGTTAAGGCTCTTACAGTGTAATATGTAAAAAAAAAAAAAAATGCTTAGCTTGCAAAATTTCACCAAAAACAGTTCACATGGCCGAGGTGATTTATTTGTTTCTGACATCCATATTAGAAGAAGTGTTGTGACAAGTGCTGTTGATTAACACTGTGAAATCTAGTAGATTTTTTGGGCATAATATACCTCAACCAGATGATAGAGATGGCTCAATCAGTTTGAGTTAAGTTAGGTACTCTCAATACTCAAAATAGTGACTCAAAACTTTACCGTAGTAAACGCCGCACATCGGCAAATGTAAATATTGGTTTAATTCAGCCATATACTATGTTTGAACCATAAACAGATTCAGAGAAAGAAGAGGAAACGTGAATTATACAGGCTCGTCCATCAGAATATTTAGAGTTTTATGTATCACATTCTATAACGTCAGACACATAATGAAAATTGATTTGACTAGCTTTGGTCTTGACTACATTATCAATCAGCTAATAATATGTTGCTACACAAACCATGTTCCCGTTCATCATTTCAGAGTCAGACACTTGCCTTCTCTCTTTGAAGCTTTGAATCATAAATCACATCATAGAAAGTCAGTGGAGAAAAGCCCCGCCCCCTTGTTGACGGGATTGGTCACATGCTTGCGATGGGAGGGAACGGGTGGTTTCAAGGCTTTGATTCGCTGCAGTTTGAGGAGAAAATACTCAGCAATGGTGTTGAATCATTGCTTTAAATCATGAATCATTTTAATCATTTTAAATATCATTCAAAACTTAATTTCACCACTGGGGGTCTTATAAAAATGGAAAAATACACATCAGAAAACTAGCAACAAACGTAATCATGTGCTTGTCTTCCACAGCAGACTTTAGTGTGCGAGTCACATATCGACCACTTACTTTTACTATGTATATTACTAGTTTTTTTTAATCTTATTTCTGTTTTTGTTTTCTTTTTTTAAGACTGACTGTAAACCGTCATTGTATGGAAAAGAGCCGCATGAAGATTCTGCAACAATCTAAACAGCATATAGACCTGAACCGACATGACGGTGAGTAAATATTAGAATTACATTACAATAGCTTGATTTCTAAAGGGGGCAGATTGAATTGCTGTCTTTGAATGTGTCTTCATAAAAGCGTTCCGATTTGTGTGTTAGTGAAAAGACACAGCAAGGTGAGAATCTCTATAGATAGATAGCCTTGGCTTGATGTCAGTGGTGGTGCGCAGCAGAAGTCTTGTCACTCTTTTCCACCCTGAATCCTTTGTTTCGCACGCCCTCTAACTCGAGGACATGCGCACGAGTTTGACTCCGAGAGGGAGGGCAGAATTGTTGCACTGTTTATATACTTCATTTTCCTCATGGAGCTTATGATGTTGCACACGCATATTTTACAAACCAGGACTCTACACAGTTTGTCATTGAACAGTGTTGTCAGTCCGTGTGGGTTATGTGATTGCATTTATAGTCCTGAAAGCAACTTTCACTGTATGCGGTATACAGGAAGTTGTGCAGTTTAAGGTCCATCCATCCATCCATTTGTCTGTCCATTCAGCCATCTGTCCGTCCATCCATCTGTCCAACCATTTGTCCACCCATCCATCCATCCATCCATCCACCTATTCATCCATCCATCCATTCGTCCATCCGTCCGTCTGTCCGTCAATCCATCTGTCCAACCATTTGTCCATCCGTCCGTCCGTCCGTCCGTCCGTCCATCCATATGTCCAACCATTTGTCCATCCATCCACCTATCCATTCGTCTGTCCATCCATCCATCCATTCACCCACCAATCCATCCATCCATTCGTCCATCCATCTGTCCGTCCATCCATCTGTCCAACCATTTGTCCATCCATCCATCCACCTATCCATTCGTCCGTCCATCCATCCATCCATCCATCCATCCATCCATCCATCCATTCATCCATTCACCCACCAATCCGTCCATCCATCCGTCTGTCCATCTATCTGTCCGTCCATCCATCTGTCCAACCATTTGTCCATCCATCCGTCCGTCCGTCCGTCCGTCCATCCATATGTCCAACCATTTGTCCATCCATCCATCCATCCATCCACCTATCCATTCGTCTGTCCATCCATCCATCCATCCATCCATCCATTCACCCACCAATCCATCCATCCATTCGTCCATCCATCTGTCCGTCCATCCATCTGTCCAACCATTTGTCCATCCATCCATCCACCTATCCATTCGTCCGTCCATCCATCCATACATCCATCCATTCATCCATTCACCAACCAATCCGTCCATCCATCCGTCTGTCCATCTATCTGTCCGTCCATCCATCTGTCCAACCATTTGTCCATCCACTATCCATCCATCTGTGTGTCCATCCATCCATCCACCTATCCATTCATCCATCCATCCATCCATTCATTTGTCCATCTATCCACCCACCAATCCATCCATCCATTCGTCCATCGTCAATCCATCGTATGTCCGTCCATCCATTTGTCCGTCCATCCATCCGTCTGTCCATCCGTCCACCTATCCATCCATCTGTCCGTCCGTCCATCCATCCATCCATCCATCCATCCACCAACATTTTACAATAAGACAATAAGGTCCTTACTAATGTTTACCTTTCCTTTCCTTCCCTTCCCTTCCCTCATATAAAGATTACAAGTGGACAAATCTCATGTTGTAAGTGAGAAATATTAGTGAAGAAGAAGCAAAAAAACACCATTAAGACACTGTATATATGTTTTATCACTGTGGTTAAAGGTGTATAAGGGGCTTTCACACTGGATGAATGTTTTCATAGTTCCTATAACTATTGGTGGAAGTACCCGCTTTTTTTTTTTTGACTGAATCCCAGTTGGCATTACCCATGACTCGGTTATCTGTTCTTACAGTATGTGGGATTAGGATTAGTCTGACCCAAATCGGAGTGTGTTGAAGGTGCCCAGACTAGGAGATTTTTTAGGTATAAATCCATGCAAGCTTTTGGGGTTACTTTGAGCAATTACCCACAATGCTTTGCACTACAGAAGATGGCTAGTCTGTGATGGTTTCTAGCTATAACAAATAAAAGGGCTTGAATATACATTAGAAACAGTTTTATACTACCCAATACTAGCGTACTCAAAAATGCTTTCCCGTTCTCAGTGAAGTATGCACTTTTAGTGCAACTGCAAAGTAAAATGTATGATTCTAGGATCATATTCATCCTATTTTTCATTGAATCTGTCATATTGTAAGATCTGTCTGTATAGAAGCCGCTCTGCTCTAGAGTATTGATTTTCTAACACATTCACAGCCTTTTGTTTTCTCTCACTTTTTGTGATATTGATGGCCATGGTCTATATTTCAAGAGGTTTCAAAGGGCCGCATGAGACAATACTGAGTAAACCAACATTTTTGCGGGATTTATTTACCAGGGTTTGGAGAGAAATACGGGCACCCGTGTCCGATTTGGGAAAACCTCAAGGTGAAAGTAAGTTAGTTTTCATGATTACTTTGCAGTGTTTACGAGGGCTGGAAAACACTGTTGCTGCAAAGTATTTCCCAGCCGATTTCCTTTCAAACTGGTTTGTCTTGCCCAGCTGTGGCTGTGAATTTCATTCCTAGCAATGTTCATTCTTGCAGGAACCTTTTCAGAGCATTGAAATTTGCCAGGGATCCGGAGACAGCAAAGGGACTTTTAATGAACAGCTTTTATTGATCAGTGGACAACACAGCTGTTAATTACACCAGAGCAGGCGTTTAAATCGGGCCATCATGTGTCGGCCTAAAACCACCTGAAAAATGGAGCAGGTCTGATGGAGTTCTGCGGCGATGGAGGATGAAACGTTTTTGAGAATTGTCTTGGGATTTTAAAATTAGGAATTTTAATTGAATTGCTGCACATGATGTTGAATTGAAATGAAGGAAGGTCAGTTAAAACAGCAATTTTCAGACAATAGGCTTGAGAATTTTACATTGGATAGTTTTATTTGCATGGTCCATGTTTGTATATGATGAATTTGACCTGCTAACACAATTTAATTTCTTGCTGTTGCTTATTATCATGCATATTATGAAGATATTGTTTGCTATAAAGCACATATTAATGCCTTATTCTGCATTACCATATTCTACATGCCTTAATCCACCCAATACCTAAACTTAACAACTATAATTAATAAGCAGTAATTAGGAGTTTATTGAGGCAGAGAAGTAATAGTTTCAGGGAATACAGCTTTAATTAATTTAGTTTTCCGAATGTAATGACAGGTGTTGACCTAGAGGTGTCAGTGTTCTAGCGGGGATCATAGAGGGCCGAAGAAGAGACATACGGGAAGTGTTGGGTTGTTGTTGTTAAGCCAACTTGTGAATAAACTGGACACAGAGAGAACTCACGCGTTGTCGTTGTCTTCTCAGTATTAAATGACTGTAAGGATCACCAACAGACATTACATGGTGTCAGAATAGCCTGTGTGTCAGTAAGAAGACATGGCGAAGTTTAGCCCGCCGAGCGAGTTTAAGTTTGAGAGCCCAACCGAATGGCCGGAGTGGAAACAGCGATTTCGCCGCTATCGGTTGGCCACGAAGCTAAACAAAGATGACGGCGAGATTCAAGTAAGTTCGCTGATCTACGCAATGGGCAGTGAAGCTGAAAAGATATTCAGTTCATTCGAGTTTGACGAGGAAGATGAAAAGAAAGACTTTGAAGTGGTCATGAAAAAGTTTGACGACTACTTTATTCCACGACGCAACATCATACACGAGCGTGCATGTTTCTATCAACGGAGCCAGCAATCCGGGGAAACGGCGGAGATGTACATCAGGACATTATATGAGTTAGCAGAGCACTGCCAGTTCGGGACTACAAGGGATGAACATATAAGGGATCGTCTTGTGGTAGGAATAGCAGACAAAGAACTTTCCCGCCAGTTTCAGCTCAAAGCAGATCTAACGTTGACGCACGTGATTGAACGGGTGCGCCAGACAGAGGCGATAACGCGTCAGGTTAATCTTCAGACCAGTCGACCGGAAGCTCAGCTGGCCAACGTTAATGCGGTCAAAGGGAAGGATTGGCAATATAAGAAAAAGAGTCAGCGACGTGGGAATAGCAGCCAGGCAACCAACACAAAGGATGAGTGTGGGAGGTGCGGTAAGCCACAACACTCTAATGAAAGAAATTGTCCTGCGTTGAAAAGCAAGTGTAATAAATGTCACAAGGAAGGACATTGGGAACGTAAATGTCGTTCTAAAGCAGTGAGAGAAGTCACAAGCGAACAACCTGGACTTACATACTTCCTAGGAGCAGTTGACAGGGAGGATAATGAGAATACATGGACTGTTTGCTTACCTGTAAACAATGTGGGTGTAACCTTTAAAATTGACACAGGAGCGGACGCTACCATTATTGATGAGGGGACATTCAAAAAGATGAGTCCTAAAATAAAGCTCGTGCCACCTGTCACTCGTTTTGTTAGCCCAGGGGGCGATCTCAGTTGCATGGGCATGTTCCAGAGTTTCACAAGCTATAAAGGGAGGAAGTACCCTCTGAAAGTGTATGTGACTGAAGGAAAAAGCTGCTTACTGGGCCGTGAGGAAGCAGTGGAAATGGGTCTAGTCAAGAGGATGAATGAGGTCAGTAGCGTGTTTGGATCTAGCGGGTTATTGAAAACTGAGCCAGTCAGAATAGCCCTGCTCGATGATGTCCAACCATACGCAGTGCCGACAGCCAGGCGGATACCCCTGCCACTGGTACCGCTGGTAAAAAAGGAACTGCATCGCATGGAGGAGGAGGGCATAATCGAAAAGGTAACACAGCCAACAGAATGGTGTGCCGCGATGGTGCCGGTACTCAAACCCAACAAAAGGGAAGTCCGCCTTTGTGCAGACCTCAGGAAACTGAACAAAGCAGTGAAACGGGAGAAGTATGTTCTGCCAACGGTGGAGGAAATAATGCCAAAGCTCGCCGGGTCAAAAGTATTCACCTCGCTGGATGCAGCAAGTGGATTTTATCAGATCCCCCTGCATGAGGAGAGCAGGTTGCTCACCACTTTCATCACTCCATTTGGGAGATACGCCTTCC